CACTTTCACTAAATAAAGCCATGGTGCTTTCATCCATATCAAAATCCTCTACAAAATAAATTCTAGAATTCAGTTCATTTGGTTCAAAAATTCCTTCCAAGTGATCAGTAAATAGTTCCGTTTTATCCCTGCTGCTTTTTGCTTATGATCCATCTGCTATTTTCAGGGGGGGAATTCGTTGTATTGGCTTGTTGGTACTATTCGTTGCTTTCTACAACGAATAATTAGTTTTTTAGTTGCCGATAAATCCTTTATATAATTCTGATATTATACTGATATAAAATTTTCTATTTTTCTTTTGAGTGTTTGAGAAAATCTATTCACAATCATTTTATCATCTGGTTGACGCGAATCTTGCCATTTATGTCTAGCCTCCTTCCTTTTTGTACTATTAAATCAGTTACGTCCTTAGGATATTTACTTGAGACAGGTTTCAATTCAGAGAATCAATTATTTTTCCAGGCGGCTTTCTATATTTCCTTTAATTATTGAAATGAGAATAAATTTGATTTGTTTGAAGTCTACCCAATCTGTGGTTTTATTAACTAAAGTGGGTGAGCTCCGTTTGTTAGCTAATTTCTCACTAAGATTAATATTGCAGTAGAGTGATCGGAATTCAAATTAAAAAACATAGCATTTTAGAAAAAAAACTTAATATTTGCTGGAAATATATGCTAGTTTACTTACTCGTAATTGGTTATTTCTGGGAACATTTATATGACATGTATAAGAAAAACGTGCTCGATTTTTTCTATATGTGATTTACTTTTATTTTACGTATCCACTACGTATAGAACGCTTTTAGTAAAAGTGTACAGTCAAGACCTTTCATTAAACTTTTTGGAATGTGACGCTTTGTAAAGTTCACATTGTAAGCGCATTATTGAAGTCAGGGAAACACGTAATAGTGTAATAATGTAATGGAATGAATAAAACAGTATATAAACAATATTATTTGAAAAATATTAACTGTAATTATACTAATCAAAGGCACACACTGGTATTGTAATATGCCATTAATATTTTTATTTAGTTAACTTTTCATTCTTTATTTTTTCGATAAAAAATCGGTTGTTATTTTGAATATTTTGAGATTGTCATATTTGTCATACATTTATGCCAAAAACTCGCTTATCTAAGCGTTCAAGTAAATTTGGTGTTCAAATGACATGTTAAGTGTTGTTAAGCTTTAGCTTTGAACTAACTTGTAACAAGTTTTTTTCGCTTGTTCATTTCAAAGAAGAAATATTAAAAACATAATGAAACTTAATGTCAGCTTCCCTTCGCGAAATATTTGGAATAAAAAAAAGAAAAAATTTCAAATATAGTAGATTTTCAAATTAATGTGTACACGTACGAAAAAAATATCATGCAATTCATAAAATTCAAAGCGATATTTCTCCGTTATTGCCCATTCTTCAAAACTTATTAATACTTCATAAGAACCAATGTTTATTTGACACTAGTATTATATCAACTTCAAAACTATCGATTGTTTCGTTATTATCGATTAATGTTTTATGTTTATTGCCGATTGTAATATTTTTGCAAAATTTTTAGGTATTCTTTATGAATCTCATTTTATTTAGTTTATAGTTTTAAAAGCCATCTAGATTATAATTATTATTTTTTTGCTTTATTCTTCAATCTATTTTTGAATTCTATTTTTTATTCAAAAATTTTACTCTGTAATTCAGTACACTTCCATTTGGAAGACCAGAAAGCATTTTGGTATTTTTCCGATGAAACTTATCAACTGATTTTTTTTAAATTTAAATTTTAAATTTCAAAAAATATGTAGAATCAGTAGAGTCAAAAGTATTGATCCATTTCCTTCACACAAATAAATTCCGGCACACTTTCTGTTTAAACTCTATATAAATTTGGAATTTATTTTTGACTTGCTCTCTTAGCTTGATAGCCTGATAGATATATATGACATTATTTAAATAATAACGTTTGCTTTTTGAAAATTTTCCAGTATTATTAAGTTGCTTAACCGAACGCATGTCTAAATGAAATTTTTCAAATTTAAAAACCTAAAAGGCATGTAACCCAGCATTTACACGTACAAGTTACTTGCAAGAAAGTTGCAATACATACAAAAATTTTACTAACACATTGAAATATTTCTACTTGCTTGTTTACTTGCAGTTCAACTTGCAAGAAAATTTTGCTGCCAGTAAGTAATTTGACATATTGAGAAATTCACAAAAAAAAATTTGTTGTTTTGATTTTTTTTTTTTTTAATTTAAAATTTTTGAATTTTGTTTTGAAAAAATTAAACTTAGCAAACTTATGGTTTCTAAAATTTATAAACAATTATATATATTGCTAGTTGTTTTCTTCTCAAAGACATTTTCAAAAATTAACTTGCTAAACGCCTACGTCATAATAGCAAGTAATTTGACATTTCGAAAAACTAATTGACAATTAATATTATACAAACTTGCATGCAAGTAACTTGTATGTGTAAATGCTGGGTAAGATGTTTTGTTATTTGCTATTCGTTTATGTGTTTCACATTTGAACACACTGAAAAAACTGATGATTTACTATTTTTGTAGCCAAAAAACATTTGTTTTTTTTTTTTATTAAAAACACCGTTGATGTGTTCATTATAACAATCTAGCAATTTAACACTAATAAGTTATTTGTTTTTAGCCTACTAATTTACTACTTTTACAAAATTTTACAAAGTTTTTTATCCTATGATAATTTCTTTTTGCTTATAATTCTAATGATTTTTTTTTTAATTTAATCATTTAGTTTATTTTATCTTATAATAATTCGAACGGTTTTGTTCGCTGCAATCTTCTAATTTTGCCGTCATTATCCAGCAGTGGAAGAGCCTCAATGTTAACATGGTGTTGTAGTCGATTTTGATGACCTTGTGCATATTTTTTAATTACGTTGTCTATCATTTCTACACCCAAATCCTTATGTAGGTTGATATTCCGAATGTACCACGGGGCATCACCTATGCCTCTTAATACTTTATTTTGAAATCTTTGTATGATGTCTCTGGTACTTTGGCTGGTACAGCACCACAGCTGAATACCATGGGTCCACACTGGTTTTAGGACTTATTCATACAGCAAAAGCTTATTGTATGTTGACAAGGCAGAGTTTCTGCCCAATAACCAGTACATGTTTCTGTACTTTATGTTCAGCTCTTCAAGTTTTTTCTTGACATCTGGTTTCCACTTGAGTTTTGCATCAAGTGTCATGCCCAGGTATTTGGCCGTATTTTCATATCGTACTTTTTTTTTTATTAATATACTCTGGCTTATACTGAGTGTGTTTATTTGTGAAGTCAATATGTATAGATTTTGATTCGTTGAGTTTAATTCGCCATTTGCTAGTTCAATTTTGCACTTTGTTGATTGCGTTTTGTAATCTTGCTGTTGTTTCAATAGTGTTGTTACCAGTCGCCAGAATAGCCGTGTCGTCAGCAAATGTAGCAACAGTACTTTGTTCTGGTATAGGCAAGTCGCTAGTGTACAAGAGATAAAGGATTGGTCCTAATACACTACCCTGTGGTACACCTGCCTGGATTTTCTTAATTTCGGAGTAATGATCTTCTTGTTTGATCCTGAAATATCTGTCCGATATGTATGAATTCAGTATTCTTGACTATTTATCAGGAAGGAGTAACTTGAGTTTATTATTCAATCCTTCATGCTAAACTTTATCGAAAGCTTGAGCTACATCTAAGAATATTGCAGAACAAACTCCCCTTTCTTCCAAAGTATCTTCTATTACATTTGTTATCCGATGTACCTGATCAATTGAAGAGTGTTGATCACGAAAACCAAACTGATGATCTGGAATAAGTTTTTTCTCGTCTATGATAGGCTTTAATCTTTTTAATTGAAGTTTTTCAAATAATTTAGAAATAACAGGTAACAGCGAAATCGGGCGGTATGATGTTACTTCATGAGGTGGTTTTCCAGGTTTTGGGATCATGATTACTTCAGCTATCTTCCATAATTGTGGTACATAACATCATTTAGATTGCAATCTAAATGATGCATTGATCAGTTTAATTAGCTTGGTTATAGCTTTCTTAGGATGTTCCTTCAAAATTTGACCAGTAATAAGATCAAAACCCGGAGCCTTTTTTGGGTTAATATTTTGTGCTATCTCGTTCTTGACCTCACTTGAAGTTACGAAAGCAATATTACCATTTTCTTGTTCTTCCAATTCCTGTAATACTTCAATATTGTCTGATGAGATTGGCTGAAATATTTTCCAAGATGATCGGCAAATCTCGTCGCTTTTTGTTCGTTATTTCTTGCCCAGCTATTATCTATATTTCTTATAGGTGAGTCTGCCTTATAGATCTTTTCAGATTTTTAGTGGCTTTTCATAATGAATATTCAGTACTAGAGTCATTAGTAAGATTCCTAAGAAATGCATTTATTGTTTCATTTTTTAGTTTTTTAATTTCATAACTGAGCTGTGCTGTAAGATTATTCAGTCTGGTTTTGTCTTGAGGATTTCTAGTCTGCTGCCATTTCTTCTTTGCTTTTCTCTTTTCAGCAATCATTTCTAGAATTTCTTTAGGATAGTTATTTCCTTTTAATTTATGGGTTATGATTGGAGTATTATCCCATGATGAAATATGAATAAAATTTGAGTATACGTCGGAATCTCATCATATTAGGATGGTGATAAGCACATAGTTTATATGTGCAAATGAAAAAAACTTTAGTATGAAGCTCCTTAGAGAAGGATATTACTTTTATTTGTATTTAGTTTTCGAGAATGTTGTCATTTTGAGTTACAACTATTGTTCCGTTATGACATTTACATGTTTGAAAACATGTAAAATTTGAAAAGGAAAAATTAAAATATTCGGCAGAAAAAAAATTAACGAATATATCGGATGAATTTAATTTTACCCATTTGAATATCTAAAATGAAAAATGTTTGTTTCTATATCTATTCGAATCATTCGATATTCGATAGTTCCCATCACTAATTATTCTCACGGCGTGGTTAGATTGTAGGAGCACTTGATAACTTTATATACGTATGCGTATTTTATTCGAAACTTATTAGCTCAAACTGAAATCAAGAACTTGTTAAATTAAAAGCGATTTTAAATTTAAAAAAAATGCAGAAAAATAGTAGTTTTACTTTAAACGAAAAAGTTGGATTCATTGAACAATTATTTCAGGTAATATATGTACATACATATGCACATACCTGCATTATAGTTGAATTTTTGAAAGCTTCTGTAGATACATATGTATATTAGTAAAATTGAACAATATTATTCTAATAATACTATAATTACACAATTCACTAATATTATTCTGACATTATTTTTTGTTATTTAGCGTGTTTAGTTCTAATTTTTACCATTCATTTATTTTAGAATGCTCTACCTATGGTAGCAAAATCAACTAAATTATTGCAGTTTTTACCATGTGGAGCATCTAGAGATGCTTTCTACGCATATCCCTCTTTTGGGAAAATAGTTGATGTTCAGTCAAATGAAATTTTAAGTCTCATATCAAAAATTTTGAAAACTCAAAATATTAAAGGAAATATAGAAAGGTATCTTTCCAAAATTAAAAATTTAATATGTAATTAGAACAAGAAAATGCGTAACATGAATGTTTCAGGCGTCAGCAAGACGAACAATTCGAAATGATTTTGGACTGCAATGATTTAATACTAGAACGTGTCAATAGCAATTTAGATATATTAAGTGGAAAAAACCGACAGCCGGGGGCAAATATAGTAGAATCAAAATTGAGTAATGTCAGTGAAACAAGTAATGCCGGTGTTTGGAATTCAAAACCTACTCAGAAAACCACAACAAACAAGTAAATACTAAGTTTTGTAGAATTATATTGATTAATTGAATAAAATTTAGACTCATAACAGCCTACAACATTCCTCGTCCACAAGCCAGCTTCAATATTCCCATTGACAATAGTGCGGAAACACCTTTCAAACCAAAGCTTAAAGAAAAACCAAATTCGTTATGTTCTTTATCAATCTTGCCAGAATATGATTCTAATGGTGATATTATAGGGTATGTTATTTTTAGATTTAAGGCAACTTTACTAATTAGGTAAGGTTTTTTTTAGGTATTCTCATCCATATGAAATTGAGTTATTAATGTATGAGCCCACAATTACGCAACTACAAGTTATAATACCTAAAAAACCTGAAGACATTAAAGTTACAGAATTTGTTTATGTAGAACAAAAAGAACAATTGAGAACTCTGCTTGAATTAAAAGCTGAAAAAGAAATAGCCATTGATCTAGAACATCATTCATACAGAAGTTACCAAGGGATTACATGTTTAATGCAAATATCTACGAATAAAAAGGATTATATAATAGACACATTAACTTTACGTGATGATTTACAAATTCTCAACGAAGTATTTACTGATCCAGGAGTGTTAAAAATATTTCATGGAGCTGATTCGGATATTGAGTGGCTGCAACGAGATTTAGGCTTGTATGTGGTAAATATGTTTGACACATATCAAGCGGCAAAAGTACTTGGATTAGGTGGATTATCGCTTAAATATCTCCTTTTGCATTACTGTAATGTTATAGCTAATAAGCAGTTTCAATTGGCAGATTGGAGAATAAGGTAATATAAAATTTTTGCTCGTTTGTTCTTTAATATTTTTTTTTGTAGGCCCTTGCCTACGGAACTTATTAATTACGCAAGACAGGATACTCACTATCTTATATATATAGCACATAAACTGCGTAACGAGCTTTTAGATCACGCTAATGGGCTTAACATGTTAAAAGCTGTTTATATGAGTTGTAGAGATATTTGCCGAAAAAAATATGTAAAACCTGTGACATCAGAAGATTCTTTCTTGGACATGTATAAAAGATCCAAACGAACTTTTGATAATAGACAACTTTACGCTTTAAAAGAAATTTTTATATGGCGGGACAATATTGCGAGACTTGAAGACGAGAGTTCTGGCTATGTTTTGCCAAATCATATGCTTCTTCAAATAGCGGAAAATTTACCTCGAGAAATGCAGGGAGTGTTAGCTTGCTGTAATCCTGTTCCATCATTGTTAAGACAGAATTTAATTAGCTTACACAAAATTATTTTAAAAGCAAGGGATCAACCTCTAGTTAAGGTATATTTAAGCAGTTAATTGTTTTAAATAAGAATGTTTTTGTTGCCATAAATTAATTTTAGAAGCACATTAACCAAGAGAACAGTGAGCGTACCCTCCTTCCGACAAAAGATTTCAGTAGCAAAATAAATTCGTTGTATGACAGCTCATTTGAAGCAGAAGTTGCATATCATCTTTCGGATTTTCAATTATTTTCAGAATTTAATTTTCATTTCAAATCCGTTTTAAATATTTTCGAGGAAAATAGGAGAAATGAAGTAATTTTGAAAAATTAAATATGTGTGCTAAATAATACTTATTTAATTCTTATCAATAATTCCAGATACAGAGTAATAAAAAAAGGGTACATACATCGCAAAATGTTAAATTTGCTAGTCCTTATCAAAGATACAAGGCAGTAGTTTCTATTAACGAGCAAGAAAGTCAGAAAGCAAATATGGAAAGTGGACACAACCGTAATTTATGCCCTGTCAAAGGAGAAAAAAGCGAACACAAGTTTATTGATTTAAAGAAAAGTGCGCTTGATAATTTAAATTTACATGAAAACAAAAACCCAAAGGAAAACATTGAAGTTCAAAAACTCTCTTTTATTTCACGTGATTATGGGTCAACTTTTTCAACAGAGAAAAATACATTTCAATTTCCAAACGAAATTACCGCAAAAAATTCCGACCAGGCTAGTTATGTTAAATCTAATATAGGAGAGATAAATGAAGATAAAAGAGAATCTGCTGAATGTTTTAATTATTCAACTATAGACATAAAAAAATTTGGAGGTGGTTCTAAAAAACATTCTAAAATTGATCAAAGAAAAGGTGTTTTAAAGGTGCGTGTATTAGTTTTAATAAGAAAAACTTTTAGTATAACAATTTACTGCGATTGATGTCGTCGAATACTTGAAAAAAAAACATTTTTTTATTTAAAACTCGTTTACATTTCACGACCTTAGAACGACACAGACGAATAAATATCTAATTATTAATGCCTTCATATATTTTATAAAACTGAAATGAAAATAACGATAGCATTCCGTTGTTCAACTAAAACACATTTTGCAAAAATTCAAAAAAGTTGTAAATGGCTGTTACAACTTTGTTACACTATAAAAAAAAATAGAGGAATAATAGAACATTTCTGCATCAAATTTCTCGAAATTAAACTATAAAATTTATCAATATGTAAATTTTATTAAATTTAAAATTTATCAATATTTAAATTTTATTTGCTTTGAAAATGAATACTTAAAAAAAATAAGAAATACATTATATACAAAAAACAAAAAACATTTAAAAAACAAAAATTCAAAATGGAAACAAATGACTTCTGTTTTAAAACTGATTAAATTTATAAAGTACATAGATAAATTTAAGTCTTACAGAATAAAAAAATAGCATTATTTCCAATATCACATTTCTGCTATTTCTCTGCATTATCTATAAAATAAATCAAATATGAAGCGATAGAATCAAACAAATAATATAAAATTTACTGACAAAGCACAAAAAATTTACCTAGAAATGTTTCTTTTTTTCTTCAGAGATTGAATACTGCTTTTCAACGCTTTCAACGTTTAATACATTAGAAACAGTTAATATTCCTAAAGTTTTTTGTAAACGCATTTCTCGTCGAATAGAAACTGGTATTGAATCTCAATTATTATACGTTAGTTAGATGTTTTTTTCGAAACCATCCCTTTTAGTTGGTACATACATCTTTTCTTTTGACACTTGTATATGATTTTCCAGCTTGACGTAATTTTTGCAACGCTTCGTTTACATTTACTTAGATCAGATTTTCGTGTTCGTGTTTTTTTTTTCTTCATTTAAAGCGTTCAAAGCGCCTGTATGTGTTACATTAGATGTTTGCATTCTAAGGTAACCACTTCTAACGTTATATCATCGGATAACTTTAATTCCTCGCCTTCAACAATCTGCAGAATCCTCTATCATCCATTTTGCCATAAAACAACAATTTATATCTCATATTTGTTTAGTCAATAATTACAGTTAAAATTAAATACATTATTTTTTTTATATACTTACATATATATTTTCAACTATTAACTCCTGAAATTTAACTAAAATTTGTTTAGTCAATAATTACAGTTAAAATTAAATACATTATTTTTTTTATATACTTATGTATTTTCAACTATTAACTCCTGAAATTTAACTAAAATGTGATCACTTTATTTATACTAAAAAATTTTTGACGCAAATTTGTGTCACAGAATTCTATGCGACACGGTAAGAGAGAGAAACACAATCTTATTTACATTAATTGTAGCAACAAAGTTCTGTAATCATTTTTTTCTTAAATCTTAAACTCACGACGTAAATTTTACAAAGTATCAAGTTCCAAAAAGTTTAGTAAAAGCTGTTGACATTGTACACTTTTCCTAAATGCGTTTTATACGTAGTGAAGACGTAAAATAAAAGTAAATCGGGTATCGAAAAAATCGAGCACGCTTTTCTTATACCTCGTCATATAAATGTTACCAGAAATAACCGGTAAAATAAACTAGCATATATTTTCAGCAATAAAGTTCTAGTGTTAAATTTTTTTTTTCTAAAATGCAGCATAAAAATGCTATGTTTTTAATGATGTGGTAACGTTTTATAAAAATTAACATTTGAACAGAACTTTAAATTGGAATTTTCAAATAAACGCCAAAATTGTATTGATATGGTAAAAATTGTATTCCTTTAGTAGTTTTTTTTACATCCGTACGAGAGCAGAGAAGGTGGGTCACCAATTCCTCCTACTCTTTGTCACAGCACTTCTATATTCGACAATTAGAAAATGGCCGGTTAGAACCATCACTACCGCACTGATACCATCCTGCCTGAGAGATGTCATATTTCTTGTGCGATTTAAATCTAGCTTTTGTCACAAATTTCTTGTTGGGTTACATATTGCTTTCGCCCATGTAAGGTTGGTGTGCTCCAATGCTGCGTTACGCAGCAGTAGTCTATGGGTGCTTAGAGGCATACCTAGGTTCTCCTCTGGTGGTAGAATCTCAAGGGTTATTCCATGTCCAGGAAGCTCGTCCGCTTTACAGTTCTCCGGAACCCAACTGTGTTCAGGGACCAACTACAGGTTTATCTTGAACTGCCCCGCAATTCGAGTTTATCCCGAACCGCTCCAATTCAGAACTGTTCAGGACAGTTGTGGAGACCGCCGATTGCTCGGAATAGGCTTCCCATTCACCTGATTATCAAGCTTGAATCTGTCCCAAATTTCTTCGTGAATGAGAGCATCGGAGAAGCACAATCAATTTTCCCATCACATGTTTTCAGGGCTTTGATACGCCAGATTGAAAACCTGTCCCTTCAATACTCCCCTTACGCTACTCATGTTGTGCCGGAGATAACAACTTCGGGTTAATATTTTTTTAATTTTATATTCTTTTAATTTTACTAATATAGAAATGATGTGAGAGCTTTTTTCAGTGTTAGGAATGAAATTCGCCCTAGAAGCATTCCACGAGTGTTGGTTAAGTTTGCGGGCGCTATGTGGTCAGGGTTCGCCGACTTGGACGCTTAAAGCTGCGAATGGTCCAAGTATTCTAGCAAAAGAGTGGCCCCAATCCTGCCACAAAACTCCTGCCAGTCAGTGCTGAAAGATAAGGGAGAATTCTGCCTAGCAGCGAATTCAAATTCTATATGTCGATGGTCGGAAAAGGAATACTTTTCGATACTTTCAAATTCGAGAGTTATATGTATAATCTCCTGTCTTTTTTTAGTGACGATAGTCGGCACTATTACATAGTGTGAGCTTAGTGTTCAAGGTAAATTCAAAACGTGACTTACCTCTAGTGTTTGTACTCGAGCTTTCTCAGATCACGTGATGTACAATTATGAAGCATGTGCTGAAAGACGGTGCCTTCTGCATCAAGTCCTTCAGATTATTGGGTGGAAGCACCTCTACAAAATTATAAGGCAGTTATGCTGAGGTCCACCATGAGATTCTACCACAAACCTTAAAACTGACTGCAAAGAGTTACGGAAAGGAATTTTTTCTGTAAAGAGGTTACAGAAAAGCATTTAAATTACTTTTAATTAATATGCACAACCTTACCTTTCCGTCGCTGTTGTTGTAGAACGGCTTATAGTTCGCCGTCCTTTTTGCAACGACCGCGAGTCTCGTGCCGGACCAGATTTCTCCTATCCTCGCTATCACCTTCTTGTATAGGTCCAAAGTCCTAGTATCCGATGGCCTGGCTTTTTTTGCTTTCCGAGGTGGTTCCTCTGTGGGGCGATGACGTTTAGTAGCCACTGCCTTCTCGCTGGTATGCTTGTTCACTATATTTTTGCCCAGTTATATGTGGACCTTTCTTCATCCGATCTATCTTTTTCCGGAATTCTTCCAGATTTTTGAAAGTTGACAGCCGTTCCCAGTAGGCCCTTTTTGATGCTGCATTTTGGTTCTAGATTCGCCTACTGCAATTTCCCAGTTTTATTGTGCAGTAATGGCTTCTCCAAATTCTTTTCCGACTTTTTATGAGTGTCGGATTCATTGATATTTTTACGAATTTTATTCTCCATTCTAGCTCCCCGAGATTTCAATTTCGTGGTGCGCGGCGTGAAATTTTCGTTGAACGTTATTTTACTGGAAATTAATTGAAGTGACTGAACAATGTTTGAAATTCTGTTATAACTATTACAACTATTAGTATTACTATTACTGGCTTGTACATTCTTATTGAAGCTAAAAAAACAAACTTAATTATTCAAACTTTTTTCGCTTCCACATAATACAATATTTCTGGATTGAACCTATAATATTTGAACAATAAAATTATTGTTCCAATTAAATTAAAAAGTTTTTATAAATGGTATATAATAAAAAGATTTTTATAATGATCTTTTTAATATTTTTAAAAAGATTCATATTAAAAATATGAATCTTTTTAAAAATATTTAAACATGTAGTGCAACACTTACCAAAAATAATATAGGTATATAGTAGGAAATCTGCGATCATAAAATTTTTGTACACGTTACATATTTAACAAATAATTATATTCGAATAGATTCATAGTTTTAGATTTTGAAAGAAGCTACACAAAATTTTTAAAAGAATTTAAGTCCATAATTTTTAAATCCAAATAAATTTATAATATACCAATAAGAACAATTATTTTCCAAAACACTTTGCTCATCACAAAGTGCCTTATGGAAGGCGGCAGGGAGTAAAAAGAGGCCGATTAGGCACGCTTCGCCAGTGATGAAAGCAAATGGCAGTTGGGCGAGGAGCAATATAGAGAAGGTCGAATTGTTTGCTGATCACTTGGAAAACATATTCACGAAAAACGGAATAACCTCATATGTGGGTTTGGTAGAATCTATCGTAAATGAAGCAAACAGCATGGCTCCACTTACTCAATTAGAGGTTGTGGAGGAGATAAGATCCCTGAAGTTGAAAAAATCGCCAGGTTTTGATCTTATTACTGCGGAAGTACTGAGAGAGCTACCAGACGAGGCATTGGAACATTTGACGAAAATCATGAATGCAGCTATGGATTTAAGATATGTTCCTCGTGCTTGGAAAGTCGCGGAGGTAATCATGGTGCCGAAACCCGGGAAATCCTTGAGGGAAACAAAGTCTTACAGGCCCATTTCACTGTTACCAATTATGTCTAAGCTTTTTGAAAAGCTGCTATTAAGGAGATTGAAGCCAATAATAGAAAATAGGGGCCTAATACCGAACTATCAATTTGGTTTTAGAAGAAACTATTCTACAATAGACCAGGTCCATAGAATAACTAATATTATAGAAAAAAGCTTGGAAAATAAGGAAATCTGCTGTTCCATGTTTCTAGACGTAGCACAGGCATTCGACAAGGTGTGGCACAGGGGTCTTATACTTAAGTTAGGGCAAATGTTACCATCGTCATTTGTAGAAATTTTTAAATCTTACTTAGCTAATAGATTATTCAGAATTAAACAAGATGCTGAATACTCCACGCTAAGAGAAATAAACGCAGGTGTGCCTCAAGGCAGTATATTGGGCCCAACGTTGTACCTGCTTTACACGAGTGATTTGCCACAAATAGAAAATGCTAAGAAGGACAATTTTGCTGACGATACTGCAATATTGGCAGTAGGAGCGAACATTGACGATTCGATTAAAAAATTACAGGAGGCAATTAACAAAATAAGCCAGTGGACTAGAGATTGGAGGGTGAAGTTGAATGAAGCAAAATCGGTTCACATAAACTTAACCAATCGGAAAATAGTGAATCCACCACAAATTAACGTAAATGGAACGAACGTAGCGATCCATAACTCAGCAAAATACCTAGGAATGACTTTATATGTCAAGCTAAGGTGGAAAGAGCATATAAAGAAGAAACACATAGAATTAGAAAATAAATATAGAGAAAATTATTGGCTCCTAGGTCGTAAGTCCAATTTGGCAATTGAAAATAATATCTTAATTTATAACCAAATCATTAAACCAATATGGCGATATGGCATTCAGCTGTGGGGTTGTGCCAAGAAGACTCACATTAACAAAATTCAAACCTTCCAGAATAAAGTTCTACGGGGCATGGTAAATGCGCCATGGTATATACGTAACAGTGATATCCACAGGGATTTAGGAATTCGTATGGTTGTAGATGAAATTAAGAGTTGTGCTGCAAGGCATAGGGCTGGTCTAGAACAGCATGTAAATATGAAAGCAGCTCGGCTGCTAGACAATTTGTTACGTTATGACAGAAAGACTTAAACGAACAAGGCCTTTCGATTTAGCACGAAATACCAATTTCCTTATGGAAGGTATTTAATTCCTGCACGGAAAAACCAAGCTAGCGCGGAGGTAATAGTTGGTCTGTAGGACCAGTTTTATCCGTTCAGAGTTTAGGTGATTTTTTAGGGCAGGAGTCACGCTCCCCCACTGCTGGAGGAAAAAGGCAAATAGAGCCGTCCTTCTTCGTCTTTCGAGATTTTTTCACCTAGTGGAAAAAAAAAAAAAAATTTTTTTTATTTAAAAATTTAAACGTTTTTATATGAACTAGGCGATATTTTTATATGAATTGAATTATTTATGTTAAAATTTTATAAAAATTTAATTAAAAATATTAATGTTTTGATATAAAATATATTTTTATCTGTTATACAAAAAAAAATCAAAAAAAAAAGAAATTTAACTTATATTACATAAAACTATTAACAAATTCAGTACTGTTTTTATGTGAATTGACTGTATTTCTAAAAAATCTGGTTTTTGTATTACGCATTTTATGCTACAGTATTTGCATGCATACGCACATACGTATGTACATATATATATCATTACAATAAAGAAATTTCCGTTGAAATTTCCAGAATATGTACATTGGAATGGCGTATGTAAGTTTACAAGTTTGCTATTGCTATTTTTTAATCTTAAAATTGGATCAAACTAATGGTGTGTAATGTAACAGTTTTCCCTTTGCTTGTAACCCTTTGAGGCACAGAATTTTAGAACATAAAAATATCCATGTTGCACAGAAATTTTCGTTCAAAATTTAACAAAATTGGTTATTATTAATAAGGATATACAATGATATAAAAAAATAAAAAATCGAGCGTAATCAAGTATATTTTTAACTATTGCTAATGGTGTTGCCAATGACTTTAAATAATAAAGTTCAGAAAGGGTTAAAAACTATCTAGCGTACTACATTATTAAAATTGCTTTCATTTATATACGAATATATTTAAAATATTGCATACCTTTAAGATGCTTGATGTATTTAATCTTCGAAATAAGGCAAAAAAAATTTAAAGAGGCGTTAACATTCTGCTCGATTTTAATTGTTAATTGCTTAACAATATATAACTTAATTGTTAGTTAAGAACAATAATTATTATACCCGTACGAACGTATGTTCGAAGGGTATACTAAATTTGCCTTACCGTTTGTAACGCTAAGAAATAACGGTCTTAGATATAGACTCAAGTGTATGTTTTTGATCAGCGTCAAATTTTGAGTTGATTTAGCTTTGTCTGTCCGTCCGTCCATCCCAACGATAACTCAAAAACTAATTGAGCTAAGTTCACCAAATTTGTACAAATGATTTATTGTCGTAAGTGCCAGAACCCTATTTAAATTGGGCATGATCGGGGTACCGGTCCGGGTAGCTGCCTAATGACCTCGAAATTGTAACCACCAAAGTCGAAGTGCATTGTCACTCGTTTGTTACAGAATTGCAATATACAACCAATAAAACATAATAAACTTTATTTTTACATTATTAGCATTAACATTTCTTATTCTTTTTTTCAGAAAAGGAAAACGGATTGGAAGAAGTACAACAGAATGTTCACCTTCAATAGTGGAAATAAAAGATAATTTTAATATGTCAAAATTATTGAAATTTACAATAATCTGATGATCATTTATGTTTATTCGAATAAATGTTTTATTTCTTTAAAAATTAATTTTTGTTTTTTTGTTTTTGTGTCAGTTATTGAATTATCAGGCTTGTTCTTCAAATCAGTTATTAAATTATCAGGCTAGTCTTCATTAATTTTATTCTTTTCAATTTGAAGTTGAGTTATGGTGTTTATTAAAACTTAATAATAGTTGTAAATGGGAAGAATGATTTAAGGAACTTTCAGACAGCGGATCTTTTCTTTGGAATAACGAAAATATTAATTAAATTTTGTTAAAAAGTATATGTTCTCATATTGAACATTTTTTTGATAACATCATCGTCATCAAGAAAAAGCCCGTTGCAAGTAACACCCAAGACAATACGAAATATAAAAAAAAATGTTCAACTCAAGGGGTAGTAAGACATTTTTTTGCAAAAATAGGTGCATATTTGTATTTAATTTCAATTTGTAAAATAAATTTATTGTTAGAGTTTTAAAATTTTAATTTATCTTTCTTAGAAATTGCTATATTTTATAGTCGGGGACTGATAAAAACAAACACAATTTAACTTTATTGTTTTTTTAAAATGCTTCTTCACTTAGTATTTCTTGTTCGTAATAAATAGTATACAAAGAAAGTTAACGCATAAAGCCTATCTTCTGCGAGAAGCTTTTTTTCAGAAACCCGTGGCGGACAAATTGGGAGGGATATAGGGAGGCGTCCTGGCGGGTGCCTAGGGTGGTCTTTCTCCCCAAGGTGGGAAGGAGACACGTGGTGTCCAAATCAATTAGCCCCACATCGTTGTGGACGATAGAGAAAATAGTAGGCAGCTACATCCGAACAGGGGCGCTACTAAGGGACCGCTGAGCGATTGTCGGTATGTGTCGGGTGGTCCAATATCCTGCTGATGGTGGAATATCCTAGAGATATGCTTGGCAAGAAGATGTCCACAGTGTGGAGTTTTACCTCCGCTGACGGAGGTCAGTTCAGATTTATGCTGATGATATTGTCATAATCGCTAGGGGCAAATTTGAGAGAACCATCTGTTAGCTAAGAGAATCATTCAGAGGTTGGGAAATATTGAAGTTTAAGTGATGGCGGCGAGGGATCGGGATCCTCTTTTTGGTAGGACTTCACTCCTGGCGCTGTCTAGGGGCGACATGGGGGAAGGAGGTGTAGCTTTGAGAAGAGCTATAGCTCGTTGCTTGCCAATAGAAGAAGTTGGAAGGGCCAATTTTCGGGCCACCCACTGTGGTCTCACACCATCAGATGGAAACTAATGGTTCAAAAGCCTACATAGAAACGAGGGCGGGAGTGCTTGAAACAAGAACTAAATTCTTCGAACCTATGCGAACGTTTCTGAGCGCGTTTCAGGCCGAGGTGCAATTGAATTGTGCTTGCAATTTAGCCTTGAAAGGGGGTATCAGGGACAGGAAATAATGGTTATGTAATAAGGTCTGCCATCGGGGCATTATGTAATAAAGTCTTCTAGGGCAGGCCAAGGATTTTCTGAGTTATAACCAGAAGCGATTTAAGAAGATTATGGGGATAGGCAAGAACCTGGTGAGAATTCTCATTAGGGTCTTATCTGATCACTGCAATAGATACTGCATGATCGCTATGCGCTATGTTACCCCGGTGTTACAAATCTACAATCTTCAAGATATTGTAGATATTAGATATTATAGATTAAAATACGTATAAATTAATATTTCCTATTTGTCTACATTGAATATTGAACTGTGTCTTAGGCAGCCTCACATTTGAAAAAATTATGGCTTAATTTACAGTGTTTAAGTTTCTGTATTTGTCTTTTTTTGAATTGTGTTTATTAATTATTTGAGTAACGAAAATGTTGCAAACTAATCTAATTTGTGAAATATTATTGAAAAGTATTAACGCTATAGGAGCATATGTTAACTTGTATTGAATTTCATTTTATTAAATAAATTTATTCAAAGCGAAAAAAATAAGGAGTTTTGTTTAAATTTAATTTTTTTTCACAGATATTCCAATTAAATAGAATTTTAAAAAAATTTTGAAAAAGGTTTTTAACTTATCTTTCTTGTATAGTATTACTCTAAATAATTGTTTCTGGTATTACACACATTTTTTTATAGTGGAAGCCAGACATAAAATCAAAATAAATACACTCCTGTTACGACTTTGACAATGCTTAGAACAAAGAAGACACAACTAGAAAGAATTTGGTTTCATTGGTTTTTCAAAATTATCCTTTCTTTAGTATTTCTATTTTGTTGCGTTAAATAATATTTATTTAGAAATATTTAGAAAAATCTGATCTATGTATGTCAAATATCTAAGAACTATTTAGCAGTATTATATAGATCATCAAGATACTTGAATGTTAATGATGAATTTTTTAATTATTTTACTTCTTGCTTGAATGAACTAAATGAATTTGAACAAAATAAGATAATAACTGGGGACTTTTATATTAACTGCTTGGATAATAATTTTACTAAAAAAAAAATGACTGAAATCTTATGTGACAGTAGTTTTAATCAAATTGTAAGTCAGTATACTAGAATTACTGAAACCTCCAGATCTTTTATTGATTATGTATTAGTTAATTATAAGTACAATATTAGTGCTAAAATTGAAGATGATCTAAAAATTAGTGATAAAACTATATTGATTGAAGTTAATATAAAAGTCAACTCAACAACCAAACCATTAGAAATAAAGTATTTGAATTATAATAAAAATAGATTCACAAGTAAAATAAATAGTAGTGAATTAATGACAATGTACTTTCTTGATTCTAATTCTAAAACTCTAATATTTCATAAAAATTTAATAAGTATTGCTGATCAATTTGTTTTTAAGAAAAAAGTTTATAATATCAATAATAATTGTGAGTGTTATTCCGCAGATTTACTTATGTTAAAAAATTAAAAGATAAGGCAATATAAAGTAGTGAATATTACAAACAGTGTAATTGAGTGGTATAAATATAATAAATTACGAAACAATTATAAGAAAAAGATAATTGATGCTAAATGTAAATTATTATATAACAAAATTGATAAAGCAATTGATCAAAAATCTATGTGGAAATCTATAAAACAATTAGTTTTGAAAAAGTCAAAAAGAGAAATAAAAGAAGTAATTTTTGATAATAAGTTTTTTAAAAGTGATATTGAAATTTGCAATAATTTTAATAAATACTTTATTAATAGTGTTGGTGTTGTCAATAAATCTATACCATTAAAACAGTACAGAAACTTAATTGAAAATAAAAATTTACGTTTTGAATTTGAGTAATGTATTAAAAAAACAATTAATAATAAGAATGATATGAATTTTTGTAATGTGCAAATGATTAAAGACAATGTTAATCTAATTGGCAATAATCTTCTGTCAATTATAAATGAATCTTTACGATCTGGTATATTTCCCGAGTGTTTGAAAGAGTCAATTATAGTTCCAGTTGAAAAGATAAAGAACACAATCCAATGTAAAGAATTTCGTCCGATCAATATGTCTCCAATTTGAAACGGTTGATCGTAATTTTTTGATACAGAAATTAAATTCTATGGTATTTGCAACATTGAACTGTCTTGGTTTGGTTCATATTTGGCTAATCGCACAAGAGTAGAAAAGTCATTGTCTGATGCAGTTGATGTGCCACTTGGTGTACCTCAAGTACAATACTGGGCGTATTATTATTTTTAATATATATTAATGATATGGAGAAGGTAATCAGTTTAGGTAGTTTAGCTTTGTTTGCAGATGATGCTTTAATCTCCACTGTAGGTAATTCAGTAGAAGAATGTGTGTCAAAAATTAATGATGATTTAAAAACATTAAATGAATGGCTTATATGTAATACATTGAAATTAAATGTATCTAAAACTAAGAGTATGTTAATCAATGATAGTTCTAACGATGAAATTAAAATAGATAATGTAATAATTGTCATTGTTAGTGAAATAAAGCATTTAGGTGTATTTATAGATGACAATCTTAATTTTAAATCGCATTTGGATTACTTTTGTAAAAAAAATATCAAAAAACTTAGGATTTTTTTCAAAAATTATAAAAAATTTATCAATAATGAGTGAAATAAAACTATTTAATATTATGATAAGGCCACACTTTGAATACTGTTCTTCAATTCTTTTCACAATGAATTCTGAGATGATGGCAAATTACAAAAATCGCAAAATAGAGGTATGAGAATTATTCTTAAATTCAATAGATATACCTCCGGGTCTTTTATGTTGAACACTTTGAAATGTAACTCAAAGAATTAAAATGAATGTTTTATTAATTGTGTTTAAAATAAAAAATAAATTGAAGCAACAATATTTAACAAATAGGCTAATATATGTTGAAAATAGTCATAATTATTTTCTAAGGAACATTTTAGATTTTAGATTAAATTTATTTAAAAAAAGCAAAACTCAGAATATGATTATGTATAATGAACTAAAATTATTCAATGAATTACGTTTAAGCTTAAAATGTGAAAACATTTTTGAATATTCAAAAAAACTTTAAAAGAATATATTATGGAAACTTTTGCTTGATAATTTGAATTATTTATCCTAAACTTTTTTTGAGAAACTTTTTTATATACAAAAACAAATTCATATTTGTAATTGAATTTTTAATTATGTATCATTATAAATAGTAAAACTTACTAAATAAATAAATAAAATAAAATAAAAATAAAAAACAGTATCTCAAAAAATTAAAAAGCAAAACTGGCTTAGTTTATTCCAATAATCAATTTATTCCTATAAACAAAAAAATAATTATATTAGCGTGAATAGATATACCACAGACCGCCAAGGACGAAAATTAGACTATTCAATCGACATAATAACCGTTTCCAAAACAGAAAGTTAAACAGAAATAAAGACTATCAAACTGCAAATCACTCTGGGCGGTTTAGACGAGGGATAAACTTATTGGACAATCCAAAACGGGACAACATAGACAAAGAACGAATTCGAGTCAATATAGAAATAATTTCACTCAAAATTTTTTTCATATATAGAATGGTCAGAACCATGGGAGTATAGAACTTATG